TTTTACAATGAGTGAATTGGAGTCATAGAATAATGAAGTTGGAAGGAGCTTATAAGGCCATTGAGTCCAACTGCATGTTCAAGGCAAGAATATCAAATCAAAGGATATCTGCCAGGTGGGTGTCCAAATTTCCCTTGAATGCCTGCAGCAGAAAAAGAGCATCAATTAAAAAAATATACAGGAGAAGAAGGAAATGGGTCTATCGACAAATTGGTGGGCAATGCTAAAATTAGAATCAAGATTTAAGAAAGATAAAATAATGGGTTTTAACGAGAGGAAGGTTGAGGTGGATGAGCCGTGGATTTATACTAGTGATAAGATTATACAAAAAATTGCATATTTTTGTTAGAAAATAATTTAGAGGACAAAAGGCTGAAAGCAGTGATGATGAAATGGGTACAAAATTTTTGCTATAATATAGATGTAGATGATTGGATTCAAATGTGGAATGATAACTACAGTCAGCAACTTGGGACTTTTTTGCATAGGTGGTGGGTATGTGTCACAGTAAAATGATTTTGGAGACAGATAAAAAAGGTATTATCCAAGAAATAACACAATTAAAAATACCTTTAAACCAGAAATGTTCTTACTGAATATGCCAGAAATTGTTGATTTAAAGTATAGCTATATTAAACATATTGTTGCACATATTTATAGCTATAAGGTTGATCTGGGCTAAAAAATAGGATAGCTTGTTAAAGGCACTATGTGAGAACTCGAGAAGATATGTTAAAGAAAGCTGAAAAATGTCTTATGATTGAGCCCAGAAACAAATATGAGTAGAGAATATAACATAGGTTAAGGAGTTTTGTACTGTAACACAGTTATGGAGTCAAGATTATATTAGTGTATTATTGTAAACACTCTCCTGTGTGTATTTTTGTGTGATGTTTTTCCTTCCTTTCCCCCATATTTGTATTCCTTTGATTCCTGTCTGTTTGTTATATAATAAAATTTTAAAAAAGAAAAAAGAACAGATCCTGCCCTTCCTTTGTAGAACTACTTTTCAGTTTTTCCCGAAAGCTTCTGGTGTTGCAGCACTCACCAACTCCCAAGGTAACTGGTTCAACTATTGTACTGCTCTAACAGTTATAAAGGTTTTTTTTCCTGATGTTCAAGTGAAATCTGGTTTCTTGTAACTTGAGCCCGTTGTTGTGTGTCCTGCACTCTGGGATGATTGAGAACAGATCCTGGCCCTCCTTTGTATGGCAGATTTTCAAGTATTTCAAAAATGCTATTATATCTCCACTCAGCCTTCTTTTCTCAAGGCTATACATGCCTAGTTCCTTCAGTCTTTCCTTAAAGAACTTGGTTTCCTTGTTGCCCCTCCTCTGATCTAGATCCAATGTGTTAACATCTAAAAGTATGGTGTCCAGAACTGAACACAGTACACGGGATAAGACCTAACCTAAATAGAGGGGGACTAGTATCTCTTGGGATTTGACAATTATTCTTCATTCATGCACCCTGAAATCACATTTTTGTTTGTTTTTTGCAGCCACACTGTTCATTCATGCACCCTGAAATCACATTTTTTGTTTGTTTTTTGCAGCCACATTACACTGTTGGTTCATACACAGCACATACCTGAAGATTTTTTGTTGCTGCTGCTTTTAGTGTTTCTAGCTAACCTCAGCTCATTCTCAGCTTTTGCCCTCCTAATGCCATCCCTGCATTTTCTTGCTATTTGTCTGTACTCATCTTTGGTAGCCTGGCCTTCTTTCCATTTCCTATACATGTTCTTTTTTGCTCTTTGCTCCTGTGATTCTTTTCCATGGTGCTTCCTCTACTGTTTGCTCTCTCCTCAGTATTCTCTCCTCTGCCCTCCCTTCTTCCTCTTCCAGTGCCTCCATTAACTACTGCTGCTGCTCAAAAGATCTGTCAATGTATACGTTGTCTTGCCTCATATTTATTTTATTTATTCATTCATTTATTTTATTTATATTCCGCTTATCTGGTCGGTTAAGACCACTCTAGGCAGCTTACAACAAAAAACACACAGAAATATATATATATAAACAGTTTCTACATAGTAAAACACATTTCACAAGATGGGAGCAGACAGTGGGGAACGGAAGGAAAGAAAGCATCAGGAATTAATTGGGGGAAAGGCCTGCCGAAACATCCATGTTTTTAATTGATTTTTAAAGATACCCAGCGAGGGAGCCTTGCGAATCTCTGGAGGTAGGTTGTTCCATAGACTTAAGTGTGGCTACTCACTGCTCCAGTTCTCTCAATTTTCCTTCTAACAGTGCCACAGGTTTGCACTTCCTGCATGTGAACGCCATGTTACACTCAGGCACTAAGACAAACATTGCACGAACTTTGTTGGTCACTATAATGGAAGTGTCTGTTCCCTCCATCCTCCCCATTAGCTTTTTGTTTTCATCTGATGGTCTATCAATGTTCGTTCCTTTATTTTGTTACCCTAAATGTAGCTGAGAAAGTAACTATATCCAACCCCAAACACTCCCCAAATTTTCTTAGAGGCCTTGCCCACCAAAATCCCCTTTCAAAAACGTTAAATGTCCATGTTTACTCGCTTGGGTCACTTTAGTCAACTTTATTCCTCAGCTGTGCTGTGTCCCAGGTAGGTGGGGCTTGTCAACCTTGGAAGGCAGCCCATCTGGAAGAAGGAAAACTCCAATTTCAAACCTCCACTGTCTTGTGGCTACATCCACTGATGGAAAAGGCTTCAGGAGTTAACCTCAAGTCAAAATCCCGAGGGAAGTCCCGGAGGCAGTTCGTGACATTCTGGCAACTCCTGCAACGTTGCTGCAACCAGTTGTATTGGCTCTTGCCTTTCCATTGGACTATTTCAGTGACATGGAGAGGAGGGATTTGCTGCTTGCGTGACAGCCTATACTCCATATTCTTTTACCCAGTCTTCATGCTCTGGAGAGGACACTCCAGCTTTGCATACAGCGTTGAAATAACACAGGAAGTAGCAGTTACCGGTTATAAGTCTTTGCTCAACTGGCATACAGTGTGATGCCAGGGGGTACTTCCAACAGTGGGAGAGGGCATTGCACCTCACTAGGTAGCTACCACTTGCCTTAAGCTGGGCAGTCCCCAGCCAGTAAGGTACTACATTGCCACGGTATGTTAACCTCACAGGGTGCATGGGGTAACCCTGCACCATGCAACAATAATACAGGTTATAAGTCTTTGCTCAACTGGCATACAGTGTGATGCCAGGGGGTACTTCCAACAGTGGGAGAGGGCATTGCACCTCACTAGGTAGCTACCACTTGCCTTAAGCTGGGCAGTCCCCAGCCAGTAAGGTACTACATTGCCACGGTATGTTAACCTCACAGGGTGCATGGGGTAACCCTGCACCATGCAACAATAATACAAAAACATCTGCCCTAAAGTTGGGCACCTGGAATGTTCGGACAATGACCTCTGGCTTTTCTGATGACCTGCAGTAAATAGACGACGTGCGCAAGACAGCTGTCATTGACATGGAACTGAGTAGGCTTCAGAGGGACATTGTTGCCCTCCAAGAGATGAGATTGCCAGACTTGGAATCTATCAAAGAAAAAAACTTCTCATTCTTCTGGCAGGGAAAACCATTGAATGAGACCAGGGAATATGGTGATTGTGTTGCGGTTAAAAATACTCTGCTGAGATCTATTGTTACACCTATTGTGGGGAGTGAAAGAATCCTGTCACTCATCAGCAGGACCACTCACCTTTAATGTATATGCACCAATACTGTCACCTACAACAGACGTGAAAGACAAATTATACGACGATCTGGCAGATACTATCAAAAAAGTCCCTGAGAGAGAGCCACTGTTCATTCTCGGAGACTTTAATGCCATAGTTAGTGCTGATCCCAATTCTTGGCCCACTCGTCTAGGCTGTGTTGGCATGGCAAAGATGATGAAAATGGCCAACGCTTGCTGGAGTTTTGCTGTTATTATGGCCTCTGTGTGAGCAACATGTTCTTGAATATGAAGCTTCAACACAGAGCATCTTGCAGACATCAAAGATTGAAGCATTGGCATCAGCTCGATTTGATCCTCACCAGACACTCTCGACAGGGGACAAGATGGTTGGAGCAAACTTCGGGAGGCAGTGGAAGACAAGAAGGCCTGGCATGTTCTGGTCCATAGAGTCATGAAATCAGACACAACAACTAAACAACAACAAGATGCTCTAGCCTTCCAAGTATTACAATCACACACAGGTATAAGGGTGCTGACTGCTATACTGATTACTCCCTAGCATGTAGTAGAGTCAAACTGCAAATAAAGAGATTGTATCACACAAAAAAGGATGGAAGACCACGTATTGACATCAGCAAGACTCAAGATCAAAGAAAAGTGGAGGAGTTTGCCCAAGTGCTTGAGGAAACCCTTCCAGGCCTGGCTGATGGAAATGCACCTGAACGATGGAAACATTTCAAGAATGCTTTTTATAACACACTTAGTTCACATTTGGCAAGAATACCAAAAAGACGGCAGACTGGTTTGAAGCCCATTCGGAGGAGTTAATGCCAGCTATTGAGGATAAGAGGAGAGCTCTAGCAGTATACAATGCCTGTTCCAGTGAGTACAACTTGCAGGTTCTTCGAGTTGCTTGTAGCAAAGTCCAACAGACTGTCAGGAGATGTTCTAACGATTATTGGCTTCAGCTCTGCTCTCAGATACAGACAGCAGCAAACACAGGTAACATCAAGGGAATGTATGATGGTATCAAGTAGGCTTTAGGTCCAATATAGAAAAAATCTGTTCCTTTTAAAGTCTGAGACAGGTATGCTCATCCAGGACCTAGCACAGCAGATGGAAGGCTGGGTGCAGCACTACTCCAACACATTTTTGGTATCACCTGGCAGGACAAAGTTCCAAACAGAGTAGTTGTAGAACGAGCTGGAATTTTTAGCATGTATACATCAATATGTTTCTGGAGAGAAATGGGAAAGATAAATAAATGAAATAAATGAAAAAAAAAATAAATGAACAAATGAAATTAAAGAAAAATGAATGAATGAAACAAAAGAAAAATAAAAGGGTGAAGGTGGCATGGGTGGAGGGAGAAATGTGGTTACGAGTAATATAATTCAGTGTTAGTGGGTTTAATGTAATATAGTGAGGAAGTGTTTTTGGTTTAAGTTTCTTTTCAATGTATTATTGGTTTTTTTAAAAAAAAATTCTTCTGTTTCAGAATTTCTTCATTCCATTCTTCTATATTGCTTCTCCGTTTGTGTAAGTTATTTTATATGAACTAATGCTACTGCTATGAATGGTGTTCTTTCCATATTCCATGCATTTCTATGGTTTTTCCTCTGTGTGAATTTTCTGATGCCTACTTAGGGCACTGCTGTTGCTGAAGCTCTTTCCACATTTCACGCATTCATAGGGTTTCTCCCCAGTGTGAATTCTTTCATGTGAAATAAGGTGACTGCTGTTGCTGAAGCTTTTTCCGCATTTCATACACTTATATGGTTTCACTCCCGTGTGAGTTCTTTGATGTAAACTAAAGCTACCGCTGTCACTGAAACTTTTTCCACATTCCACACATTTATATGGTTTCTCTCCTGTGTGAGTTCTTTCATGGGACTTAAGATGACTACTGCGACTAAAGATTTTTCCACATTCCATGCACTTGTATGGTTTCTCCCCTGTGTGAGTTCTTTGGTGTAAAGTAAGGCTACCGCTATCACTGAAGGTCTTCTCACATTCCATGCATTGATATGGTTTCTCCCCAGTGTGAATTCTTTGATGAGTTCTAAGGTGAGAGCCTTGCCTGAAACTTTCAGCACATTCCATGCATTTATATGGTTTTTCCCCAGTGTGAATTCTATGATGTGAACTAAGGTGACTGCTTTGGCTGAATGTCTCTCCACATTCCATGCATTTATAGGGTTTCTTCCCCATGTGAGTTCTTTTATGTCTACTTAGGGTACCACTGTCCCTGGAACTGTATCCACATTCCATACATTGATAGGGCTTCTCCCCTGTGTGAGTTCTTTTATGTTTATTTAGGGTACCAGTCTCCCTGAAGCTCTTGCCACAGTCCATACATTGATAGGGCTTCTCCCCTGTGTGAATTCTTTGATGTGAAATAAGGTAACTGCTGCAACTAAAGGACTTCCCACATTCCATGCACTGATAAGGTTTTTCCCCAGTGTGTATTCTTTGATGTGTTCTAAGGTGAGAGCCTTGGCTGAAGCTTTCAGCACATTCCATGCATTCATATGGTTTTTCCCCAGTGTGTATTCTTTGATGTGTTCTAAGGTGAGAGCCTTGGCTGAAGCTTTCAGCACATTCCATGCATTCATATGGTTTTTCCCCAGTGTGTATTCTTTGATGTGTTCTAAGGTGAGAGCCTTGGCTGAAGCTTTCAGCACATTCCATGCATTCATATGGTTTTTCCCCAGTGTGAGTTCTTTGATGTGAACTAAGGTTACTGCTTTGGCTGAATGTCTCTCCACATTCCATGCATTGATAAGGTTTCTCCTCAGTGTGAGTAACTTGATGTGAAATAAGATGACCACTTCGGCTGAACGCCTTTCCACATACCATGCATTTATATGGTTTCTCCCCTACGTGAGTGATATGATGGGAACGAACGTCACTGCTAACACTGAAGTGCTTTCCACATTCCATTAGTTTATATCATTTCTCTCCTGTATGAGAGTTAGTTGGAGTCTACTGATGGTGCTGGTTAGGCTGAAGCTCTCTCCACCTTCTATGCATTTCTATAGCTTTTCTCCATGTGAGTTCTTTCATGTGAGCTAAGGAGAGAGCATTGGCTGATCTTATCTCAGAGAAGCCTTTATACTTTCTCTCCTCTCTAACATTTTTCCCATGAAACACTACTGTTATTTGTAGTTATTCACAGGTAAACTCAACTATTTTTGTTCAAATAGGAGGTATATATTTCTATCAATGGAAAACGTCTGCATTCCTTTTTTTTAAATTAACATCGTGTGGAGTTCAGAAACATCTATACCCTGAGAAGCCGGAGATCTATTTTCTTCTGTCCTTCACTTGTTTCTCTACTTCCCTTTTCCTGCTTCACATGTTGTTGTTTTCAGTGGCAGCAGACGTGGCTCTGCATAATTTTGACTCTTCTGTTTACCTGGTGGAGAAAAAAAGAGAAGATGAGAAGGGCAGCAGAAAAGGGAATGTCACTGGGGATAAAACCAAGGTACTCACTTTTTCTTTGAGGAAGGAACTCCATAGCTGAGCCAAGAAAACCCCAAAGGTGAGGGGAAAGATTCTTCTGGCTCTACTTTCCTTCAATCTGCATGATCAGATGGAAAGCCAGTAGAGTCAAGAAGAATAAAACTTTGGTAGTGAAAACCATAAAATTGCTGAATAAAATACAAGGGGTAGAAAAGCCTTCAGAATTGTTTCACTGTTCCAAAGCAGGCAGACATAGCTAGGGAAGTGAAAACATGATTTCGTGGATTCTTGGGTCTACAATAAACTATCTCAACTTTATGTTATGCTTGGAGGGAAAATATTCTTGGAGATGAAGAGCAGTTTAGTTTGCACCTGGGAGCACTTATTTAAAGCTAAAACCCCGCCCCCTCAGACCATGCAGTCCGGGAGAACAAAGGTCAGAACAAACATACCCTTGCAAGCTTAAAAACCCACAAGCTTAGAAAAAACACGAAATAAAATGTCCTCCTAGACACAGCTCACCTTCTGCTTCCCCTTCCTCTGAAAGAAAAGGGCTTAGAGCTTCTGCTTGCACGCATTTAAAGCCAAAACCCTGCCCCCCTCAGACCATGTGGTCAGGGAGAAGAAAGGTCAGCCTAGAAGAAAATACCTCATCAAATAAAATGTCCTCATAAACACAGCTCACCTCCTGCCCCAGGTTCCTCTTTAGGAAAAGGGTTTAGAACTTCTGCTTGCACATATTTAAAGCCAAAACCCCACCCCCTTAGGCAGTCAGGGAGTCAGGGAAGTCAGGGAGATCAAAGGTCAGAGCAAACACACACTTGCAACCCTAAATATCCACAAGCCTAGAAAAAGAAATATTTATTTATTTTATTTATTTATTCGATTTTTACCCCACCCCTCTAGACAACGTCACACCAGATAAAATGTCCTCCCAGACACAGTTCACCTTCTGCCTCTGCAAGAAAAGCGATACCTCATTGCACATTGTTAAAATATAGTGCTGGCTTTTTCACATATGGAGGAGGACAAGAAAAGGAAAGACACTAAGATCACTTAGTGACTGGGCTGTGTACCCACCCTAGCATAAGAGAAAATGTTTTTTGTATTCTTGAAATGCCCATGGCTATAGAGAGTAATTGCATTTTTCTCATGAATTTTCTAATTTTCGCATATTGCCTACTTAAAATTCACAATTCAATTTTAACATGTGGAGAAGTTTTGTACAACTTATTTTTATACTCCAAAGTAAAACTAGATGTCCAGAAGATATTTTAAAGGGTGCAGTAAACTACCTGGGTTCCACCCTATGTACAACTGGGAAAGAGGGCTAATCTACAGGCTTCTTCATGGCCTTATTTTTTTTAATTTACTATTTGAACTGCATAATGATTTATATTCTCCTATGAAGATGACAACATAAAATTATTGCTATTATTATTAAGACACACAAATTATTCTCTTCTCGCTTTGCTCTGCTGCTGCTTCTCTTGGGATCCTCCATGTTGGTTTTTTTTTGTCTACGGTGTTGTTCCCCTCCTTCTCTTCACTGAAGTTTTGTACCCTTTCCCCGCAAAGG